TTTCGTGCGTTTCCCTTAGCCTGCTGCTTCTGATGTGCTTGCCACGTTTTTGACCAGCTCGACAATCAACTCCTATATTAGCTGCATGCGAGGGCGTAGAGCCTGAGCACTTGCCAACCTGCTTGGCTAGCTTCTTCTGGATGTCCACTGACGTGGCCAGAACTGCGGATTTGGCAACAGCGACTGAGCCCTCCAATTCAAACTGAATCGCCCACAACATACTTGCGGCCGCTCTCCCCAGTTCCGCGATGAGGGTGGCCTTGCACTTGTGCGAGAAGAGGAGAAGCAAATCATCGATAAACATGTGGAGGGATACTGGAACGTTAGATGTCCATACATCTAATGGCTCCAAACAATACATCTGGACCAGGAAAGTAGCGAAGCTGCAGCCTGCGGGTATACCTTTAGAAGTATAGCCTGCATATGATGTTTGATTATTGATGGTAATCATACGTTGACTTTGACATTGATTCATGATGGCGGACATGATATCTCCATTAAAGCCCGAATCGAGGGCTCTACGATGTAGCTTAGCTCTATTGACGTGTTCGTAATAGTTGGTTAAGTCCCACATGATGGAGGCTGTGCGGAGGGAGGAGTCCTGAGTGGCGCCGCTCTCTGCCTGGAGCGACTGTTGGTACACTAACTCGATACGCAAGAAAACTTCTACGATGCCGTTGCTCCCATATTCTAGCTTCTGCTTGTCGAATACGCCCCCAGACTCTGTAAGTACTTGGCATAAGCCCGATCCCTCCGTATGAGGGGCCGTCACCTGAAGGTTTGTGTTTGGGAATGAAGGCTGCTATAACTGCGAGAAGCTGGGACAGCATACTCCCGACGCGCTCTGCGATGTTGAGGAGCCTGCAAAACTGCCCTTGATGCTGCAAAGAGAGGAGGGCGAAATGCTTAGGGCGAAGTTCATCCCAAGTCTCCGCCGTGGCGTGGCTGAACTTCTTCAAGGCCTGCTTGAGCTCCTTTGGGGTAATACGAGGAAGGGCTTCTGCTGCTCGGGGACCTGCTGGGGCTCTATCTTGAGGTTTAGCTTTGGAATCCCAAATGGCCGTGAGACGACGAACTTCAGCATTCAGGGGTTCTGTCGGGCATCCCGAAAAATCGCCGGCCTGAAAACCAAATGTGGGGACCACCCCTGGTTTGCTCATTTTGACTTGAGTTGGCTTCCAATGTTGATTTTTCGTTGTCCACCTATGAGCCCATCCAACCCCCGACGCCATTTTATCTTTCATCCACTGTTTCCACGTAGAGCTAGCATTTTGGCCTTCTGAATGTTTTTCTTTTTCAAGATACTTTAGAACTAATTCATGTTGTTTTCGACATATTCCATTGGCTTCTGGAGAAATCCCATCCTTGCCCCTGCCCTGCCCATCCTGCTGCAACGCTTCCACGAGGCTGCACACTTTGCTGAGCATGGCGCTCAACTCGTCAGAAGCAAAAACCTCTTGCGGCGGCTCCGACAACACCTGCACCAGATCGGGGAGCGCGTCCACATCAGACTGGTAAAGAATGCGCTGCACTTCTAAAATCTGGTTGAGAAGCCAACGCGTCGGTCGCCAAAAGGACTTCCATTGAGCTCGGTGTTGACTTTCCACAGCTTTTGCAGACAGCCAGATAATCTTAGGGGGCCCACAACGTTGACCTTCTTGTCTGAGGAGGGCGTCCGTTGCCTTACTGATCGTGACCCCCATCTCTGAAACCAAAATCTCGTACGCTTTGTCCAGGGCTGCTTGTTGGATCTCTGGGGGCTCCGAAATCAAAAACTGCTCCACGGTATCCAGGGCTGCCGAGGTTTTTACCCAGTCTTTGTTCTGCTGAGCGGGTCCTATCGGGCGCCTTGTGGGGAGCTTCTGGGGCTTGCTGAGCACGGGGATCACGAGGCTGGATCCCACCGCCAGGCTGAGCTTGACGGGGCGGTGGGGCGACAAGGGGTACTGCTTAAGTACTGAGACCGCCTGCACCGAACTGTTGAGGCACGTGCTCATCATGAAATAATCAATCTTACTGCGAGTCTTGCTGGTGAAAAGCGTGTAACCTGATAGATACACCGTCTCAAGACCTGCACGTTCTAAAACTCCCGAACCTGCGACCATGGACGGGGCCATGTTGAAGTCGGCCCCCACGAACACAGGCATGCGATATTTCTGCTGACACCAGCCTGCCGTTGCCAGCAGGTAGAGTTTCGTGTTGTTGAGGCCCTCGGAGGCCTCGAAGTACATGGAAAGGAAGACGATGGGCTTATGCCCTGGCTACTCAAGAATAGCAGCAGCAGCAGCAGCAGCAGCACGACTTTGAGGAATGTAGACAGGTAGCGCTGCTGGTTGAACTCCGATGTTGAGTCCTGAACGAATGAGGATGCACGTGCCGCTGCTGTTGTAGCTGTTCTCGCCGACGTCGCACTCTGAGATGACTGCGTGCCAGCCTCGAACTTCGCACCACTGTATGACCTGTGTCAGCTCGTCGCCTCGGAGCTTGACCTCCTGGGCACAGATCACAGCAGTGTCTCGAACATCATCTGATTGTATTGTAGTGGCCTTCGGCCAGTGCCGCCGATCCGGGTCGCTCGGATACACATATCACGCGGACACCTCACGCACGCACACGACCAAATGCACATACGGCAGACACATATACAGAGACACACTAGGCGCACGCCAGACACTAGCACGCACAGACATTCGCAGACACGCACCACACACAGACACTCGCACAGGAGCCTGTCAGGGCGTCGAGGGGGCTTCTTGGGGGCTTTGGGGGGCCCTCTTGGGGGCTCTTGGGGCCTCCTGGGGGCCTCGTGGGCTGGAAGGCTAGATTTTTGTTCCGCTTTTCGTCCCTCTTTGGGGTCCTCTTGGGGCCGTCTTGGGGGCCTCTTTGGCCGTCTTGGGTAGCTTTTGGGCCGCCTTGGGGCCCTCTTGGGCCGTCTTGGGACTGTCTGGGGGCCTCCTGGGCCGTCTTCGAGCGGTCTTGGGGGCCTCTTGGGCCGTCTTGGAGCGTCGGATAGCCGAAAAAAGCGACAACCCCAAAAACAGTTGTTTAAACAAACAAAGGAAATCAACGATGTTTGCCTGTGGGGGCCCTCGTGGGAGGCCTCTTGGAGGCCTCTTCAGACGTCTTGGAAGGTTCTTGGGCCGTCTGGGGGCCATCTTGGGCGTGTTCGGGCGATCTTTCGGGGTCTCGGGACTTTCTTAGACCGTCCTAAGAGACTTTTGCGGCCGCGGCCACCCTTTTAGCGCATCCTCGAGATTAGAGCCTTCTGTAAAAGCAGCCCCCCCCGCATCCGCCGGAAACTCGCACCCCCCCCCCCCCCATCCCCCCTTCCCCAGCAGAGCCACCCCGGCAACCCCCCCAGAGGCTGAGGCTCAGCCTCGAGGCTGTGGCTGAGACTCCTGGAAACTCACACGCCGGATCGGCGGATTAGCTTCTGTACTGCGGGCCAACAACTTCCGTTGATGGTGATGATGCTGAGCTGCTTGTTACCCAGACGGCTTGCTGTCGGAACCTTTGCCAGCCGCCTTGGCCGCCGCGGCCTTCTCAAGGGCCTCCTGAGCAGCCTGGCGGGCCTTCTTGGCCTCCTGCGAGGAGGTCTCTTGCGCGACGCAGCCAAGGGCCTGCTGCAGCCCTCCATGTTCGCTGTGGAGCCTCTTCTGCTTCGAGGCGGTGGACTGGTCCATGCTGCCCTCCTTGGTCTCGCCGACCTTCGGGAAGCCGTCAGGTTCGCCTGGCGCCGACGCGGTTGCTGTCGCCTGAGTCGGCGCGACCGTTGCTGGCGCAACTGCCCCTCCCGCTGCTGCCCCCACGGGTACCTCCTGGCTGAGGCTGCCCGCAGCAGCGCCAGTGACTCCGGCGCCGCCTGGCACTCCCGCTGACTGGGGGGGATCTGCCGCGGGGGCTGGCTGCGGCTGCGAGGGGATCTGCTGCACCGCCTGCTTGGTGCTCGCCTCCAGCGCGTGCACCTGCTCCTGGATGTGCGGCGGCACGCTGTGGACTGGGCCCTGCTGACTGAGTGGCGGGAATGGGTTGTTGGTGCGGATCGGCTTCGGCGTGTTGGCGGCCACCGTGTGCACCGTGATCGCGTGCTGCGCCTCCAACTGAGCCACCTCCTCGCGCGCCGTGGTGATGCTGGCTTGCAGCTCCGTGTACTCGTCCGCGAGCTTGGTGATCTCCTCGAGCTTCTCCTCGGACTGCGCCTCGGCCTTGGCAATTCGTTCTTTGGTCCTCTCGATCTGGTCACGCAGCGACTGCGCTTGCTGGTCGAGCGGCTTGGCCTACAGCACGGTCTTCTTGGCCGTCTTGAGCTGATCGACGGCCTTGGCGTAGTTGGAGCCTCCAGCTCCTTCTCGCTCTTTCCAAAACTGCACCAAGTCCTGGTAGTGCGCGACTTGGACCTGGTCTGAGGTTGTCGCTGCAGCTGCTGGATCGTCAGGTTGTGCTGAAGCATGCTCTCCCTGCCTGTCATTATCTTTAATGCCCCTGGCAGCATGCTTCCCTCCTTTCCAACGATTTGCACCTGCTGGCACGGTTGGCGAAGATCCCCGATCATCTCCACGTCCCTTGCCACGACCTTGAAACTTCTTCCCGCACTGCCCGCAGAACTGGGAGACGTTGCAGTAGCCCCAGCCACCGCACTTTGGATTTGAGCACACGAAGTACTCACGTTTCTGCGGCCTGCCTCTCTTTCCTCCTTTTGCCATGATGCCGAGACCACTCCAGCAAGAAGCAGCGAAACAGCGAATGGCGGCAGGATTCTGCAGTGAGGCGTAATTGTGGGAAAGCGGGGCTTCTGGAGTCCTGGGTGCGTGTCAAGCTTGGGCCCCAGCTCACAGGACCTGACCTGTGAGGCAAGCTTGAGCCAAGGAGGAGCTCGAGGAGGAGGAGGAAAGGGAGGAGGAGGAGGTGGAGGAGGCGGAGGAAGCGGACGACGACGAAGTACTGAAGGGGCAGGAGCAGGGGGGGGCCGTCCTCCCCCCGCCCCCCTCTTGTCTTGGAAGGACGGCGCACTCCGCTCTGGTGCCGCCACCGCCCGCGGAGTCGGCCTGGAGTTGCGACGCGGACCTGCCGGAGGTGGTCCGGGCTCTCTGCGATTCCCTCGAGGCCGTCGCCGCGGAGAGTGCCGTGGGGAGCGGGCGGCGAAGGGAGGCTCTGGTGAGGTCCCCTCCTTGCTCCTGCTCATCCCCTCTTCTCTTGTTTACAATTTCACAATATGAAAATACTCTCCCATTTCCCCTGATGGCGTCCCGAAGATATCCGACACCCCCCCGCGTATTGTTTTTTCACACACAGGATTCCCGGGAAACGGGTTTTCGCCTGTGTTTTTTCAAAATGCTGCTCTCGCTGAGGCGCCGGCCTCATTTCTGCTCCCGAATCGTTCCGAATCGTGCTCCCGCTGCAGCGTGGGCCTCATTCTCGGATCGGTGTTTGGCCTCCGTCGTTCAGGATGGCGTTCTCGCCCCAGCGCGGGCCTCTTTCTCGCGCGCCCATCCGCCCGCCACCACCGCGCCGCACCACCACCACCACCACCACCACCACCACCACCACCACCACCACACCACCACCACCACCACCACCACCACCACCACCACCACCACCACCACCACACCACACACACGCACGCACGCACGCACGCACGCACGCACCACCCACTACGCACGCGCGCGCGGAGCCACAAGTCCGCTACGACACGCGTCCGCGGATAGAGAAAATCAGCGCCATGGTAAGGGATGGGAGGGAGGGGTAATTAGGACGTCAGGTATGACGTGAGCGCACCTAGCTTGCCTCCTCCCCCTCCTCCTCCTCCTCCTCCTCCTCCTCCTTCTCCTCCTCCTCGGAGGCCAGATGGCATACCTATATCGGATGGCTACGTACTATCGGGACCTACGACCAAGGGACTATTACCAGCCTATGGCAAAAAAATGAGGGGGACGGCGGACTTTCTAATTATGCAGCCGTCACCCTACAATTACACGGGCTCCCACTACCTACGCCCCCCCCCTCCCACCAACTCCCACTGCCTAACCTACCATCTCTTCCTCAGGCAATCAGCTCTCTAATAGTGCCACTCACATTCGGGGTTGGTCTGTCATACAGTATCGCTGATGCACGCTCGAAGCCGACGTATCTGCGACCTCGTACCGGACGGTATACAGAACGACAGTACATGCTACAGGGTACACATCGCGTACTATGACAGCATACACAGGGAACTACCACACCACAGCATCCAGCACAGCCATGCGATTGTGATCCGACTACGGTTCGACCTCTCCTCTCTCGCTCAGATACATCCAGCTTTGGCCCGCTTTAGCTATCACAACTGTTGCCTCTCTCGACCTCCAGAGGATAGAGTGAGTAAGAGTCGCACACTAAGGAAAGGCACAGGATCCCGACAGCAGCAAACAACCGTGCCTACGCCTACTCTCACATCAAGGTCCTACTACGGCTCCTTACGGCCCAACCACTGGGAACTAAGGAGACAACTACAATACCTAAGGTGTACAACAGTAGGCTGGAACCACTAAGGTAAACGAGGATCGGTACACAGCTCGACATACTACCAGAGGACATTTGCGATTCGAGCATATTCGCCCTATCCAGTGCTGGCGGACACTCCGCCTACATCCAGAGCCAGCGCCAAGAGGGCGCACGACCAGAGCAGCGATGGCGGCGCAGGCGCACACCGAGAAGGCGGAGATTGCGCAGCAGCCAGCTGCAGAAGAGCATCTGCAGCCGACGATAGTGCAGAAGCCGCACGACAGAGGAGGCATGGGAGGAGTGGCGGACCAAGTGGCGGGCACGGCGGCGTACAGGCTCGAGATCGCGCACAACACGCTCCAGAGCACCGCAGTCGCGTTCAAAGTGGCGACCGAGCACTGCGAGAAGGCCCTCCACGCGCTCCACAAGCAGCGGGAGAAGGTGGTGACCACCTTAGGCCGCATGAACGCGAAGAGCCTCAATCCATATGAAGAAGCGGAGCGCAGCCAAGCGAAGCTCTACCTCAAGGAGCAGCTCCACGACATCAACTGCGCCATCAGTTCGACGAGGAGCGCCATCGGCATCACCAACGACAAGATGGGCAAGACCATGCACGGGCCGATGCCATGGGAGCTGGACTTCACGAGGCGCCAGGCCGACGAGATCGACAACATATACACGCGCTGGACGAAGGGCCCGCACGGCTACGCCTACGACGAGGCTTTCTTCGCCGGCGACATGCAGACGGAGCCGATGGTGGAGCCGCAGATGGAGTTCAAGGACTACCTCCAGCCCCCTCGCAGGCCGCCGTGCACCAACCCGAGCAAGAGCATCGAGGGCTGGGAGAACCGTGGCAAGGTTCTGAGCAGTGAGGCCAGCTCGAGCACCCCAGCCGCCGCCTCTGCAGTCACTAAGGCCGACGGCTCCGCTCAGAGCAGCAGGGACGTCAGGCTCTCGTCGCCAAGGGCGGCAGCGGCAGCAGGCTGGGGCATAGGGCAGCAGCAGCAGTAGAGAGCAGACTGCACCAGGCCTGGCCTCCCTTTTTTTTTTCTCTCTCCCCACTACCGCCACAGAGGGAGGGCTCGGCAGCAAGCACTCACCGCATGAGCCAGTGCGGCCATGCACTACATAAGCCGAGTGGAGAGCAGGGAGTACCAGGCCGCCTCTTCTTTTTTTTGCCTCTCCTTACCGTCTAGGGAGTGGGGGAGCGGGGGGGGAGGAGGGGAGCGGAGGCGGGCGGGCTCTCAGCGGTGAGGGGTGCGCCCAGCGAGGCAGCCCCACACCGCCTGCAACAGTCGACAGGCCGAAACCGAGGCAGGGTCTCCCTGCTAGCGAGGCTCGGGGACCACGTCCAACAGAAGGACGGGCCCCGTCGCCTCAGGCGGCCCCCCCAAAGCTTGGGTGGGCTCGCATCCATATGTTCCCCAGGGGTCAACATGCCTTTTTTCGGGAGGCGGCGAGACCTGACCCCCAAGGGCCTTATCCTTATCCTTATCTCCTCCTCCTCCTCCTCCTCCTCCTCCTCCTCCTCCTCCTCCTCTTCATCCTCTTCCTCCTCTTCCTCCTCTTTCCTCTTCCGTCATCCTCCCTCCTTCTCCCTCCTCCTTCCTCTTTTCTTCCTCCTCCTCCTCCTCCTCCTCCTCATCATCATCATCATCCTTCCCCTGGAGGTCAGGAGGCTGCCTGATTGCGCTGGGTGAGGAGAACGGCATGCTAGTGTCGTGTCGCCTCGACGGCGACCCCTCATTGGGACAGAATTGGCACAGAATCGGCCGACACCGAACGATATGCGCTATTAAAAATCAGCGATCCTTGAGCGGTCCATGCGATGTCAGAAACCAATGCGCCAGTCGTCACGACACGAGCGGGTGTGGGGGGTGAGGAGGGAGACCGCGCGATGCACAATCAGGCACGGAGGTGTTGTACATTCAGGCGGCGAGATGGAGGAGGAAGAGAAGGAGGAGGAGGAGGAGAAGAAGAAAAAGAAGCAGGAGGATGATCATTCGGACGAGCAGGATAATGGAGGAGGAGGAGCAGCAGCAGCACCAGCACCAGGAATAGGTGCAGCAGGAGTGGGAAACGCATGATGACCAGGGGAAAGTGGAGGAGGAAAACAGATGAGGACGGCAACAAGGATGAACGAATCGGACCAGGAATGTGCCCCGCGCCAGAGCGAGAGCCCAAGTCAGAGTGACGGGAGCAAAGGGCCACTCTTGAAATGCGAAAACGTTGCAGGCAGAGCACGATTCTGGAAGGACCGGAAACAGTTCGATCGCAAAACACACATTCAGAACCACACAACAAACGACATCCAGTTCGTGGGGAGAGCGGGGAGCAGGGTCGGGCGAGGAGGCAGAGAGCAAGCATCTTCGATCGGGCTGCCCCGAAGTGACGATCCACCGCGCGGCCAGGATGGGTTACCGCCCGTCACCTTTTTAACCCGTGACGCCCTCGGTGACCAGAGGGTTGGTTTGGTCATTATTCTTCTTCTCCTCCTCCTCCTCCTCCTCCTCCTCCTCCTCCTCTACCTCCTCCTCCACCTCCTCCCTACGTCCTCCTAGTTCCACCACCGCCCTACGTCATCCTTTTTCCTCGATTCGTTTCCCTTCTAAATTAACTTTTCCCTGCCGCACCCCGAGACGTGACGGCAGGGCGGGCCGGGCATTCCGCCTGAAACTTCCTCACCAGCTACGATCATTAAGCTCAAACTGTTCAAAGGTTTCGCGGATGGAGGGCGGGTGGTTTTCAAAACGTGATTCTCGCTTTAGAGCCGCGTGTGCAGAAGTCTCGTGGATGGAAGGCGGGCCGTTTTCACAATGTGCGTCTCGTCTTAGCGCCACGTGCATTAGTTGTTTCACATCGCAGGAGCTTCACGGAGGGAGGGCGGGTGGTTTTCAAAATGTGGTTCTCGCCATGGCGCAGTGCACATGCGTTTTAATAGTTTGCAAATGTCACGGATGCAGGGCGGTGTTGTTTTCAATTTGCGGGTCTCGTTTTAGCGCCGCGCACATTCGTGTTACGAGTTGGCGACAATTTCAAGGATTATGATGGCTTTGGCGTCCCATAAAAGGTGTTTTGGCATGACGTGGGATTATCAGGCCGCAGCAATTACGTCGATTCGCGGTGATGAGATGACGTTCGGAAACTGGAGCATGTACATTACCAGTGGCGGGCTGTTTTTGTATCTCCGGATTGTTTGGGGGGTCGGGGACGACATCGTATTGGTGTGGTGTATTTGTTCCCCGCTTTCCCAGGAAAACAATTGAAAATGTGTGCACCAGGATCCCGTTTACACCAGGATCAGCTTTCAAGTGCGAGTTTCAGTGCGGGTCCGGAAAAGCGTCGGTGTATAGATTTCGGCTCTTTAGACGTCCCAGGAATGGCTCTCTGGTACGATTCATTATCGCGAGCACCTAACAGTACCGTTGATTCGCGGCGTTGAAGTCCCAGGAGTGGTGTTCTGGCCCGATTCAGGATCGTCAGGACGCAACAGTTACGTTGATTCGCGACGTTGAAGTTCCTAGCACGGTGTTCTGGCACGGTTCCAGATTTACAGATTTCTTTTAGTGAAAACTCATCCTCGTGGGGACCCATGAAGAAGGAGTTTGGAGGGAGGGAGGGTT